ATGAGACAGATAATCTGTGATAATGTATTGCTATTTTCTTTCACTAGAGAACGCCTCATTAGGGTGGGAACACACTGAACCAGGGTTCCATCCAACTGAACAAACTGATTACAAAGTGTGTGTGTGTGTGTGTGTGAGTACATTTTTCTCCCCTCATCTGGATGCTCAAGGTCTGGCTTCTATGGTCATACTGCCCCCTGCTGGGGTTCTGGTTCATGCACAGATATCTCCCATAACGGCACACATCACATCACAAAGTACGCCTGTTTACTAGTCATACCTCAAAGAAGGTATTGCACCAAACCAGTAAAGACTATATGGACTGAACATTCTTATTATTAGATTTATTAATATTTTCTACCAAAACAATCCCAGGGTTCTCAACCTGGGGGTGTGGACCCCCAAGGGGGTCACGAGAAAATTTGGTCACTGTAAAGGAAAATGTGCTGAAAGATACATTTTGTATATAATAAAATGATAATGAAGAAATATACCAAATATTGTGGAAGAACATGGATCAAGCTTGGCCCAGTGCTGAGCAATGTATAAATATTGTATTACAGCCTAAATCCAAGCACTTTCCAGACCTGTGGCAATGTTAAAATGTTGCTCTAATACATTTCTTTGCATTAACTAGAGGACTTCCCTCTCTTAAAAGCAAATCATCACAATATCATCATAATACGGAACATGAGGTGTGGTGGGAAGCCCCTATAGGGTTAGTAAGTGGACCTTAAAATTGAGCTATTGAGCAAAAAGTGGAGAATTGTATGCTGAACATTTTCCTTTAAAGTCCCCTCCAATCAAAAATCTGTTTCTTGTTGCTACAGTGTGATGTGTGAGCTTCACTGTGCAAAATGTGGCCTGGGTTTGAGTCCAGCCCGAGGCCATTTGCTGTATGTCCTCCCTTGCTCCCTGTCAAATTAAGCCAAAAAAATCAAAATAAAGAGAGCACGATCTCCACCTCATTTGGTCTTTACAAGTTAATTTTATTGACAAAACTTACTGGATATTACAAATTCACTTTTATACAAATCTATTTTTACTCAAGGACTGGACACATGAAACAAACAAAGGACAGTGAAATCTTTAGCAAACAAAGAACAGCTTTACGAAATGGGCCTCATCCACTTGCAGCCACTTCAAATGGGTAGTGCTGGGGGAAATCCTGGATAACTTTCAGGGCTTCATTGTACAGCTCTAAATCTGTAAGACAAATGGACAGAACATACTGCAAGCTACCACAGACGATGCTGCTGTATTCATCTGGATGCAACTGATACTGAAGGAAGACCTACCGAAAGGAATGCCCTTGTCCTCTCGTAGCATGTTGTATGTGGTGGCCATTATTGCTCCTTTGTTGGACACCATGCCGATGACCTCAACAACACCGCTCAGCTCTTCTTCAAGCTGGGAAAAAAATATGCTGAAATAATTACATTATGATGACAATTTGTAAAGTCTGAATTATGGTCTGTCTCCAAGACAAAGAGCAAACAACTTTGAAAATGCTTGTTTTCTGAATGGTGTTTGGTTGATCAGGGCTATGCTAACTTAGCTCATAGTAAAGTAAAACCAACAGCTGGAATCAAGTAACACAACACATTATATTTTCAGCGGTAACTAGGTAGTCCACTGTCCTCTTTTACTTGTCTTCGAGCAAAGCTTTCTGTATAAATATGAAGTAGTATCAGAGCTGTGGGTGCACAGACAAATAATTGGATTCACGTTGGTGGAACACAGCATACCCCTTTCATCCAAACCTTAATAAAATCTGACTTAAGAGAAATGGCATATGCTTTTAGCATACAATCCACACTACTTCAACTATCTACAAGCTTTCTTGGCTCTGATTGGTTAGTTGTATTCATTCAGGCCGGTAGATTCTTGCAAATACCATCAGGAGCACTAGGAGGAACCAGAGGAATCTGATTTCCCCCACAGATTCTGTTTCATGTACCACTGTCAGAACAGTGAAAATTTGAGCAATTATTTTTAAAAGAGTTACCTACTGCTACAGCTTTAATTAGCATCATTATTTCATGTCAAAGCAGCTAAATAAGGTAGAAGCCATTCGTTCCAATACGAGAAGAACTTGGGACAGTTTTGGTCCACACACATGCACTTATTCACTGCTAAGAGTTACATGAAAAGATTGATATAACTTTCAAGCTTGTACAATAAATATGAAGCTACCGCTGGCGCCTGGTTAGCTTAGTTTAACACTGCACACCCGTCTTTCCTGTTCTTCAGTTTCTGTAGAGATCAAACAAGATGTTATTAGTGAGCTTCAGATGTGGTGGTAGGTCAATATGATGAAAGTAGTGCATTCATAGCTTTATCCCACTCTTGCTATTGAGCATTCTGGTTCACTGGCATTGTGCCTAGGACACTTAATGGAACTGAGCCAACGTAATTGTCACAGTTTTTCCAGATTTGACAAGTCAAAATGTTTGCTATGCAACCAGTCCAGAAACCGTCATCGCGTGTGTGTGTGTCACTCATTCGTGCTAGCATTTATAAAGGGAGAAATCACTAATCCAGCTGCTGTCACTTTTACCGGGCCAAAATGAAAACAACCAATCAGAGCCAAGAAACATAACGACGCTTTGGGTTGGAGGCCTGAATATAGTTGATTGTAGAGGCTCATTCCCAGGGTCCCAAAGCGTCTGTATTTGACATCCTGGGAATGAGCCTCTACAATCAACTATCTTTCTCGCCTCTGATTGATTGTTTTTGTTCATTAGGAGCAGTCAGAGGAAACAGATTTTTTGTCTCATGTACTACTGTCAGAACACAGTGGAAACTAAAGCAAATATGACATACAGTTTGTTTTAATAAAAGTTACCCAATACAGCTTGAACCAAACCAAAATACTGTAAGTAGTTTGACAGTAAGTCTGGCTGCCATAACCTCAATCACTTAAATGGCAGCTCTGGTACCTTTATAGGGTTAATTAGTGTATTTACCCTACTATTTCATGAAAGAAATGTTCTTGTGAAAAAGGTCTATTTTTCCTATTTAGAAGACTTATATATTTTTACGTATTTTGAACTGAATACACACCACCAGTTAGCTTCATTTGATTCATTAACAGATTCAATTTGATTCATTAACAGATTCAGTGAAAGTACTCACAGGGTCGTTGAGTTCAACTGTCGCAATCTTTCCTTCTCCATCCGCCACGGTGAACGTTTTTCCCGTAGGGTGTACCTGGCAGAGCAGAAAAGAAAGGCTTCATGTTAATGGCATTGACAGTTCAGGTTAGTTAGCTTACAACTGTTTTAACATTTTCACTCCACCTAGCTACAAGCAACACTGACCTTTTCAACCCGTCCAACGAAACAGACCGCTCTGCTTATGTGCTGCGACAGCATGGAGCAGTTTATTCTTGGTTTCGGGACATCCAGTATGCCTGCCATCTTAACGCTTTGCTGTATCGGCGTTACTAAACTCTGGACAATGCAACACTGCGCGGGAAATGCTTAGTTCCTTGGTTTTGCCTCACGCGGAAGCTTACGCGGGCGGAGAATGTACGATTACGTTGAAAACCCTCTGGGCTTGTGATTACGGCAAACCCAGGAATCAAAATCGAACGCTTTCGCCTTTTTACAACGACATATCCGCCGTGCTCTACCATTTTATTCCTCAGAAACACAAGTGAATGGTTCCGCTACGTGTTGCTGCGAGGATCATTTGTAGAAGAACTGTAGATGGCATTTATTGTTTCTACACGAGCACGGGCGATACGGAGGCTACTGACGTCAGCATCATAACTTAACAATATAGCAGGGAAAGTACCGACGGAAGATTAATAAGGTTATTTCCTGTAGGTCAATACCGTAGCAATATTTAGCAGCGTCGCACTAAGCTCTAAGTGACCGAATGGAGCCAAACTAAGTTAAACAGAAGTGAACCATGAACTGACTTTACGACCGTATTCTGAACTTCATGACAAGGCACACCGACAGTAAGACCGTCTTTATTAACCATGTAGAGCCACAGCTTGGTTTTGACTGTTAAAATAAGCCGTTTGGTATGGAATTTGAAAATTATACATAATTCCAACAATTCATGTATGTTAGACGTCATGATGAAGTCGTGTGCATAAACCAGAGTAATTTCCTGCGTATCATCTAACGTTACAAGTGTCTCAGTTTGTTTTCAATCTTTAAAGCAACAGGAAGTCGTGGGCAAAAAATATAACTAACATTATATAAACTAATTATGGATACATTTATTTTTCAGTGTTATGCAATGCTTAGGCAATTTTATTTCAGGGGTTGTAATGTTAGAGTTTAAAAATGTCTGCTGCTTTAAAGCTGCAGGAGGTAATTTAAAAATATATATATATATAAATAATTGTCGTATTTGAGAAAACTTTAACTATATCCTGTTGAAATGTTGAATCTCATTCCCAGGGCCTCAAAACAGGCACTTTGGGGATGACACTCAACAATCAACTATCTTCAAGCTTTCAACCCAAAGTGTCTTTATAGCTTTCTGTGCTCTGATTGGTTGTTTTTGTTCAGGCCCGGTGGATGTCATTAGGTGCACTAGGAGGAGCCAGAGGAACCAGATTTTTTTCACAGATCATCTGTCTCATGTTTTACTGTCAGGATATAGTGAAAGTTTCAACAAATATGACAAAAAGTTATTTTTAGAAAAGTTACCTACTGCAGCTTTAATCTTATGTTTGAGAACAAACCTGTAAATGAAGTCATATCTCTGTTAGAGAAGCACGTCTATCTCCAAACAGTTTGCACTTTGAGTGTAATCTTTTCTAACATTAACAATGGCCCTTGCTCAAATGAATAGGGACAGGCACTGGAAATAAGCTATTGCTATATATGCTGTGATACATTGCATTGATATATATTGTATACCAATTTCTATGTAAACGGTATCTGTCCCCATAAAATAAACATGTAATGAAATTAAATGAAACACTGACAGCTATAACGGTCTAACCTTTCCTTTCCTCTGTTGACAGGATAATCATGTTTAGTTTTCTTGGACTCCGTAAAGACTCGAAGAAGTCAACATCCGAGAAGGAAGTAGATGGAGGCTTTGTTGTGATTGGTGAGAAACCTCATAAGCTCATAAAATGGAATTGACATTTTGGCATTTGGAAATGCTATTTATTCATGGCATTTTGGCTGTTTTTTCCCCATACATTTAAAGCACCAATTAGTGATTATTTAATGATAGTAAACCAGCAGTGGTAGCAAGTGTTTTTTAAAAGTTGAGTTAGTTGAATGGTTGGTTTGATGTATTACGGTCTAAAGGGTAGCTCCACTGTTGCCTATATGCAGGACATTGTTACACTGACAGAATTTTAAACAGAGTTCGGTGTGAGTCATTGTTCCTCATATAGCATGTTCTGTATGAGGAACTGGTCAGCCATATGGCCCTGCAAAGATCGTTAATAATGCAAAATTAACAGTTTGGTTAATTATGAATTAGTCTCTTTGGTGGAGTTTGTGTAATTTTTAATACCATAACTTAAAAGGTGAATGCAGATGGGTGCTAGTTGGTTTTAAGTTAATAAGAGTCAGTTTTATTTATTACAGATTAAAGTCTTTTTCTATGTACAAATAAAATGAATCCATCTGCATTTGGATGGACAGTTTACAGGTTTTATTACGGTACAGTTCTACCACTCACAGCCAGGACAGTGACTTTCAATTTTGGAGTGGACATTGGCTCCCTGTCTCATGACCATCCATCACTGTGTGACAATATCACACATTTCACAACTTCATCAGAGTATGTGACTTTGTTATGCAAAGACTTACGCAAGAAAATATTCAGATATATAAAACTGCGCAGTGCAAACCTGTAAGCAGTCTTCTCATTGTAAATAGCACCAGCAGTGAATTGTACATGTACTCCTCTTCCCACAATCATCCATAAATGGTCAACGCTAAATAGCTCATGAATATACTGACCTGTTTAAGGAACCTTTGTTGGCCTATCAGTGAAGGAAAGACAGAGTAGCCGATGTTAAATATTATTGAAAGGTAGGTGTGCTCTCAGCACCAAACAGTAACCAGCAAACTGTGTAGTTACTTTGGTAACGACTGAAAAACTCCTTAAATACTGCCACACAAACATGACAGATAGTGACAGTGTTATGAGTTGGTGGTTATTAATTTGGCATATATTGATCCACCAAAAATAACCTATTTTATTGAGAAATTGTATTTATTTAAACTGTCTGCCTCTCATTCCCACAGTCTTCTCAATCAATAACCCAACAATATCTTAACAATAATAAATGTATCTACAATAAGAGGTAGGCACATCCTGAAATGTAGTGACGATATATGTAAGCATGTGTAGAAAAGCACACATAATTTCTCTATGAATCACAACTTATGCGGAGAAATATGCACATTTCACTGCTATGTAGGCAACTTTTTGTGTGTAGCAACCTTCATAAACGAGGCCCCTGGGGATCACCCCATATATGGCCACCTATTATCACATTACTGAAATCTTATACTCAGGTCATATGGGCTTTCTTCATAACTTAATCCAATTGACCCTTTTCCACCCCTTTTTTCAACAGTCAACTATCCTTCTTGGCTCTGATTGCGTTGTTTTCGTTCAGGGCTTCTGGTGCGATTCTTACAAGATACCATTAGCCGCAGCACTTTTTAGGGGGGATGGAGCCAGAGGAACCGGATTTTTTCCCCACAGATTATCTTTCTCATGTTCTACTGTCAGGATATAGTGAAAGTTTCAGTAAAAAAACAAAATATTTTACCTATTTACCTACTGCAGCTTTAAAGGTAGCAGGCACATTGACAAGACTCTAACACTACATTACATTTTTTTTTATAAAACTACAAAATCATCCTGTGAATTTACCTGTCCAATGTAAAATAACATTAAAAATCTGTAACTTTAAATAATCATATGATTACTGCTTATTTAAAGAAAATTTCCTTTTTTAACAAAAAAAATACATTTGCAAATTGATAATCTTTTATTTATTTATTTATTACTCTTCATTTAATAGATTAAACTTTTGAATTAAAATTAAATACTGTTTATATGTTTCACACCAAAAGTAGAAAAAAGTATTTGTTCTGTAATTTGACATGGATTTGTTTGTTAATTGACAGATATCTTGTATAATTATGTTAGTATTCACAACAAAAACTATATATTTTTCTTTATCAGTATTGCATTGTTAAACTACAACTTGAAAAATATTTTTTTACCACTGACAACAGCAATAATTATGGTAATTTCACAGATAATGACTTTAATTACAGTTCTATAATCTTACAGTTTTGATCAAATTTTAGTTTGGCTTTATTCTATTATTCACAACAACCTTAGCATTGCGTAACACTGATAAAGCATGTATACATAATTAGTTTTATTTATTTTTTATTTGCCCAGTACTTCCTGTTATTTGACACTACCTTAATGATTGTATATCCTCCCACTGTAGTATGACTAAGCTATCTGTTTTTACCTAAAACCACAACAATTCCCATGGATCATGGTTCATCCTAAATAAAACTTTATTTTACTTCATCTCCCAGAGAAGTTCTGTATCATTCCCTTCTTTTGGGTTTAAGAAGAGCTGGTGGAGCTAACACAGATGGTCAGGAGCTGCATGTTATTTTTGGCAGAGGAGAACAAGTGTCAGAGCCAGGCTTTCTTTTTCAGATTGAGGCAACCAACTGAGCTTGCAGACGTTCACTGTAAACTCCTTGCTAACCATTTAGTCACGTCCTCTTATCAAAGATGGCTTTATAATAAGCAACTGAATGGCATATAATAATGAAAAGGCAAATACAGCTTGATCAAATGTGTCCACCTGAGGCTTCGTTGCAGTCGGAGGAGACTTTAAAAGTGTTTTTAAGAGTGCATCTGTTATTAAGTTTTCTTTTTCACTCATGTAGCCTCTGGTAGATTTCAACTGATAGGAGCAGATGTCCAAAGCCGAACTGATGGTCCCATGCAGGACTAGATAACAGGTGTCAGGCAGGCCAGACCAAGCAGAGGCTGTGGAAAGTCCCAGCAGGGTGAGGCTGTGGGGGAGTTCTGCCTGGCCAATGTCCCTTCTTCTCTGTCGGTGTTTGGTTGTCCAGGCAGAAAGCACTATTGTTTGAATGAAGGCTTATCTATGTGGTCAACCGTTGACTAGAGTTATTATTAACTTTATTAATTAGGGCCCGAGCACAAATCATGCGAAGGCCCTATTGTAATTGAAGGATTTTTTTTTTAGGGAGGTCCCTATTGTATTTGCTATGTTTTTTCTTCTTACCTATTATTTTTAGCGACTTTCACTGCGTCTTTGCCCCCCTGAACATCGCCACTAGGTGGCGCTCTGGTGGCAGGGTAAATCACTGTGCGGAGTAGGGATGGGGATCGAAACCCGGTTCTATCAAGGACCCGGTTCCACTTTTTTCAAAACCCGAAAATCAATAACGTTTGGGCTTATCGATACCACTATCGAGTCTCGTCGT